TAAAAAAATGATTTCGTCTCCATTAAATATGAAACATAGTCTTATGTGACAAAAATTTGCTTTCGCCAAAGAATATATTTGTTTTTAATTTTATTTTAGTAAATAATTATTAAAAAAGCGTTAAGCCAACTGGCTCAAACTCGTGTAACTTCTAATTAACCTTAGTTTCATTATACTGAAAGTGTCTTTACTCTTGTGTCGTTGTGCTCCTGCTTTTGCGCCACTGCGTGCTCTTGGCCTCTTGTTATTGTAACATCGTTTTTGTTCTTTTGTCTCCGTCTTCTCAGCTTCTTCCTTCGTCTTCAGCCGTAGTTCTCGCAAATTGTTTAGTTGAAAAATACAAATTTACAGCACCTTCAGAAATGGTTTACTCCTTGACGCTATTTTGTCGGCCTCTTAGGGCTTATCCATTTTAAATTAGGGTTTTGAAATATACGATGAAGATGTGTAGTTTTAGTTTCGAAATAATATTTTATGGATACACAATTGCAAATGGTTTTTTATTTACGACTCTTTTTGTTTGCTCCTAGTTCAATGAACCAAAAACTAATAATGATAACATTTCGGCCAACGAAAAGCAATTCGATCTTTAATAATAAAACTATCAAGTATTCTATAAAATGCACGTAGCTAATTTTTGTTTAAATCTGTTGATTTTTCAATTGAGCAGCTAGTATTTTGGTTAATTAATCTTCAGATATTTTTTCTTTGTTCGATATGTAATCTTGAATTTGAATCTTCTTTATAGGAACGTGTGGGTTATTATATTGTTAATTGGATATGTAATTTTGAGAATACAGTACCCACGATAATTACGGACGAAATTAATAAAGTGAAATATTTGCTAATACATATTCACAGTTTATCATCTAAATGATTGCATTTTACAAAATTATGTAAAGTGTAGTATGAAGGAGCAACTGAAAAATATATGTTAAGTGTCTCGTTAAGTACATGTTTAGAAATCTGGTAACATTATGTTAAATCATATTTTTCCATAAAAGCTATAACACATGTACTGTTGAAATAGATACATATTTAAATGAATTTTACGCACCATCACATATGCTATAAAAGCTTTTGCTTAACCTACGGTATACTTAGATGTGCTCTTGCTAACTATCCCAACCGGAACGTTTTTAAAAATATATCAGAGGATTCGTTATCAAAATATATTTTAAGAATTTTTTTTAAATAATATAATATTTGAAACTAAAAATGAGTTCAAGATTTATTTACGTGTAAAGAAGGTATTAACACCCTACGACGTCTATTTAAAAAAAATTATTTTAAATTAATTGTACAAATTCATTTAATTTTAAAAAATATTTATTTAATCCCTAAACAATAATTATTTATACTTTTTATTTTAAAAGATAACTTATTTATTAAAATGTTAATAGATACCTTAAAAAATTATTTTAAAATTTATTTTGATTTAACGGGTCTGATTCTCATTCCTACGTATGCAATGGAGAACTCAAAGCCACACAATTCTATCTAAAAATTATAAAGTCGGTTGATTAAAATTAAGTTTAATAAAAAAAATTATTTTAAAATTAAAATTATTTTCATAAAATTATAATGTTTATGATACAAAATAACGTGGTTATACAAGAATTTATAAAATTAATTATAAAACTAAGGGCAAGGAAACAATGCTCGTTTTGGTTAAACTTATCGGACAACCTAGGGCATATGTGTTTTCTCATTCAATTCTTTATGTTATTTTTCTGTTTAACTCTAAATTCGTTTCCTTGTGATTACCAATAATTCATACGAATACTATTAATACACAATGGTCATGCAATATTAATATTCTTTTCTCTAAATCAACATCCCCAATGATCATGCAAGACATTAATTTAAGAAAGCTTAAGGAGCCTACGAACTTGTTAATTTAATAACGATTAGAAGAGAAAGATTGATTTGGTCTATCTAATCTTTTGTCTTGTTTTACCCTATAGATCTATTAATTAACCGAGGTAAGTCGCCTGACGATATAATTAAGTAGGATTAAAAAAGAAGCGCAATAGGATAAAATCTAATCACAAAACGGAATAGATTCAAACATCAAAATTTTATAAATTCATAAACAATAGTTCTCATAGCCCTAACTATGGACTTAGTTACTCATGCTAAAGAAAAGAACTAAAACAATCATAAACAAAGTTATAATCAAAAGAAATAGCAAACTAGAGTATGAGATGTGTTCCCGATCTTCAGTACGATCGCTTGAAGCTCTAAGTCTCGTCAAGTTTGTGCCAAGGATCCTGTGTAAGAGAGACGAGATGAGATATATTATAGAGCAAAAGCCAAGATAAAAACAGTGTCCTATACGATGTCTGAGATCTTCCTTTTAATAGGATTTGAAAACTCTAAAGACTCTTCATAATTGGGCTTCCCGCAGATGAGCACGTGCGCTCGAAGCACCCCATGCTTGTTGAAAGAGTCTGGGCGTGTTGACTGCTGCGAAGCTCTAATCTTTTATCAATTTGTATCCAAAATGCACCAAAAATTCACTTGCGGTCTCTTTATATCAAACTATACAATTAATATATAAATTAGTGTAAAACCCAAATAAAATAAAGGTCAAATATAAATATTTGGGCTGTAAAATAGGGCCTAATTACAGACTTATCAATGTACCCTATGAGAAACAATACAAAAAGTGAAGGAATATCATACAACTATATTGTTAATTGTTAGAAATATTTTATTTGTAAATGAAGTATTCACATTTTAATTTTGATTATGATTAATGTTGAAAGAAAATTTAGGATAGCGTAAGCTATACATAAATATTTTATAAAAAATATTTATTTAATAAAAAAGTTTAAAAAAATTCATTTGATAAATTTATATTATATAAAACCTAAGATAACGTTGATAAATATAGATTTTGACAATTTATAATACACAAAAGTAAAGTCACTACACATTAATATTATAAATTGTTTCGTTAATAAGACAATTTAGATTGAAATTAGTTGATTGATTCGTAAGTTAGTAATTAGAAGGGGAATATATCTTGATTAATTGTTAAGATGATTAATTAATTGATTAAAGATAATATATGATAAATTAATATTGCATAAAGTCTTAGTAACGTAAGTACATATAGATTTCATCAATTTATAATGCATGACGATAGAGAAGCTATATGTTAATATTATAAATTGATGCAATTATATTATTATTTATTAATTGATTATACAACAAAAGTAAAAATATAAGTCATTCACCAAAACAAACAGAAACAAAACATAAATATCAAATTTACATTCTAAATCTGCATAAAATAGCAAATAAAAATAATGCTACAATAATAATGAATAAATAATGAAATAGATATAAAAAAAAAATCTAAGAATTATAAAAAGTGATTTACTTTATTTTTTTTATTTAATTTTTTTATAAAGAGAAACACCTTTTATAAAAGTGGAAATAGAAATTAAATAAAATATCAAAATAAATGCTAATATTATAAAAGCAACATAAAGTAAGGTAAGTTGAATTTAAAGGTATAAAAAGAAAAATAATAAACTAATTTCACTAAAATAAGTTAAAGACAAATGAATAAAATAATAGTCAAAACAGAAAAAAAATATATAAAAAAATAAGCTAAAAAATATTTGGGCTTAAAATGTTTTATTTTATTTTTTTAAAAAAAGGGCTATATGAGCCGAAAACCCAAATAAATTAAAAATTAATAATAAAAATAAGAGATTTAACATAATATAATAACGAAAAAAAAAAGACCGAAATTTGCATTGAAATTTAATGTTGAAGGGTGCAGGCACTCATAACTCTCGACGTATTCATTTGAACTTTTATTTTAATAATAATAATATATATAAAAAATAAATATGGGATATGAAGTTTTATGATATGGTTCGGGATAAGTAGCTTTATATTTTTATTATTTAGTTCCAACTTCATGGTTCATTTTTATAAGTTTACCAGAGTTCCGGTTAGAGCAAGATGAGTTTAGTATGCAAAGCAAAAGAAAGAAGAAAAAAAAAACCCTTAAATACAGTTAGCAAATGTTCAAGATGTGAACCAAAAATAAAGAGAACAAAATTAAATGATTGATTGTTTCTTCTTCTTTTAGGCTTTGGTTTTTGTCTCTTGCTCTCTAATTTCGTTTGGTCTTCTCTTTAGGTGTGCTTTTTTCTATTTCGTGTTTTTCTTTCTTAATATTCATTTTTCTTTTTGAAATATTTGTTCTTTACTTTGTCTCTAAAAATTTTTCTTTCTCTAAAAAAACTTGTGTTGTCTCTTTAAAAATTTTCTTCTCTCCTCCGAAAACTCATTTGAAAATTTTTGTTTTCTTTTTTCAGAGAAAAAAAAGGATCCTTACACTTTTATATTGATAATTTAAAATTTTTGTAAAATGCTATTATTCTTTTTTATGCTTAGAATTGATTTTTGATATTATGGTATAAGTCTGAAAGCTTCTTTTTTTGGAAAACAAAATAACTTTTTCAAATTTTTTTTGTTTTTCTATAAAACAAAATTATTATTTTATTTTTATATATTTTTAAAAATTTGGAAGAAAAAATTTGGTTTTCACACTAAGTTAGGGTTGGGGCCGTTCCAAATCACGTTGACAAAAAAAGAGAAAATTTACTAAATTGGTAAAGGCTGAAACTTCTCACATTCGGTCAATAGTTGATGCTGCGGGATCAAAGAAGCTGCTGACAAATTTAAAGTACACCGAAAGCTTTAACAGTTGCATGAATCTCACGTTGCAAAGTTACAAGTTAGTAATTTAAGCAACTCACACCAGAAAAAAGCAAAGTGTCTTGTTTGCTAAGAGAAAAGAAGAAAATGACAACTGAAACAGCAACATTCTAATAAACAATCTAACAAGACATAATAGAATCTATCAAATTTGATTAAAAGTACGTGCTACGATCTAACCATCTGAAACTGTTGATCCTCCTAACTGAGACACTTATTTAAACGGACACTACTACCCTGACAAAAGGGACACATTAGGAGAGACGCAGTGTAATATTGTACTCCACAACAAAATGTTCAGGGGTAGAAATGGAATAAACACTGTTTACTATGGCATAGCCAGTGGCAAATCTAAACGCACCAGTGCCACCAACAATTGACATTTCTCTATTTTGCTCCAGAACGGGGTTCCTTCCAAGCATGCTCAATGTGCTTCCTGCATAGATGCCATCTTTGAATACAAAATTGGTCAACATGAACATCCCACGGTCCTCAAGAGAGGAAAGGCCAAACAACCCTTGAGCCCTTCCAATCTGCTTTGAACTCAGCTCTGGCCCTTCAGTCATTGCATCATCCATGACAAAAGTTGTGCCAAACGCATTAGGAACATTCTTTGGTGACTCTATTATTTGCACAATCGAGGGGTTCTTCTCATTTCTAATTTCATGGAAGTAAAAGTGGATGTGGGTTAGCTTCTCTTTTGTGTGGTGTTCTGAGGGCAACTGGATGTGGGATTGTTGTGAGAATGCTCCATGGGTAGAGATGAGAGTGAGAGATAAGAGAGAGAAGAATGCTAGTGGAACATACATTGTATCTTTGTAAGACTCTCTATGACTATGATCATTATATTTTGGCACTTAAATTGATTGTGTCTTGCTCTTTATTTTTATTTATTACCCACGTTCATCTCTTGGAACTAAAGCCGTGGAAGGTACTGATTGGTGGATCTGGATCTTAACCCTTATTAAAATCCTGTCCAATTATAATGTTAGAGCCTTCTAACCCTAATTGCTTTTGCAAAAGGGAGATTTCAAATTGCACATTTATCACTTTTGAGGGACTGATCAAGAGATTTACTATAATCAATCATTAACCTTTTTTTATTGTTTTTTATAAGACTTGCTTGAGCAATTCTAAACATTCTTAAGTTGAGATTTAATTGGCCAATAATTGTGTCTCGTATGAGAATTTGTAATTATATTTAAAATTATAAATAAAATAATTAAATAAAATTAAAAAATTATAAACATAAACGTCAAATATTAAACTATATATATATATATATATATATATATTTTTTTTTTTTACTTTAAGTGAGTGCTTGAAAGAAAGTTAGACGGCGTGCCATGCGTAAGACGAAGCACAGGCAGAATAAAGCACGCGGAACAAAACCAAAATCAAATTCCAGTGAAATAAATATAAGTATTTGCTACAGAAGAATGATCATTTTACGCTATTAATTATTTAAATAATTTTTTAAATCCATTTCTTAAAGTGATTATTAAATAAACAAATAATTTTAATAATATATTATTAATTTATAATAAAAAACATAAAAATTAGAAAAATTTAATTAAATTTTTATATAAATAATAAAGTAATATAAGCAATTCAAGTTTTAGCTTTGAACAAGAATGTTTATAATTGTGATGCATGTGATCTCAATAACGATAGTCACATTAACGACATGAAAATAATGACAAAAAAATAAAAATATTTTATAATGTAAAGTAAGGATGTTATGTCACAGGAAGATGACCAAGCTAATGAATTGAACTTCAAGAATCTATATAAGAATATTCAACACATAATTTCATTAAGGTCCAAAAAAAATAAAATTAGGTCCAAATACATCAAAATTCTATTATCAATTAGCACTAGAAGCTTCCTGGCACATGGCAGCGGCAAGTAGGGGAATGACTCACCATTTGGTTACAATTTTGTTGCATCACTTTTTGTTAGCATTTTTTTATAGCACGTTAAATTTCGTCTAGATTATGTACCACTTGGTTATATATTGGAAGGAAATCTATGAATAAAATCATAAAAAGTTAAAAAGGCAATTTGTTTTGTATTTGGAGGCTCTCCCCTCGAAAGGAGTTTTTTCTCTCCATTTGTCTCATTACTTGTTTTGTATTTGTGCTCTCTTTCATTGGTGCTTTCATTGTATTGTATCATAAGCTCCTTACCCTTTTTTGCTGACCTTGCATCCACCTTGCAACAGTTACTCCAAACCTAACTCACCTTCCAACAAAATTACCAAACGAACATCACCACCCTCACTTCTGAAATCATTGCACTAAGAACTCGCCTTGGTCCTCTTGGTTTTACCCATTTCCAAAGCGATCCTAGTTCCACACAACTTTTCCCTGCCACCACCATTAAACTCGACATCTCTCGCTTTGACAGTACCGATCCATTGGGGTGGATTTTCAAGATATTCCAATTTTTTTTATTTCCATAACACCCTCGATGACCAGGGACTGTGCATTACTTCCTTTTACATGGAAGGTGAAGCTCTCACTTGGTTTCAGTGGATGCATTCTAATGGCCAACTTTGCTCTAGGTCCACATTCTTACATACCCTTGAGATGCGTTTTGCTCCCTCCCTCTATGAGGATTCAAAAGGAGCTTTGTTCAAACTGACACAAACCCCCACCGTTAAAGCTTACCAAGCTGCGTTTGAAACCTTGGCCAACCGCATCGTGGGTCTCCCTCCCCCCTTTTACCTTAACTGCTTTGTCTCAGGCCTGAAACCCGATATCCGCGGTGAGGTTCAGTCGTTCCGACCTATCTCCCTATCCCAAGCCATAAGCTTAGCCAAACTTCAAGAGGAAAAACTCTCTGATCATAAAGCGTCAGCAAACCACTCTCGTCGCGCTCCCACTTTGGTAATACCCCAAACCTCCCCATCGTTCTGACCCACCCTAACCTCCTCCTCCTCCTCCTCCAACAACCCGAAACTCGCAACCCTCATCAAACGTTTATCCCCTGCTGAGCTTCAGTTCCGCTGTGAGAAGGGATTGTATTATAACTGTGATGAGCGTTTTGCACCAGGCCACAAGTGCAAGAGACAGTTTCACCTTCTTATTGCTGACTCCAAACAACCCGACGATGCTAAGGAACTTTTGAGCACCTGCCTCCTTCACTCGGCCACCGAGGCGTCAACATCAATTTTCGCCATTCCTCATGCTGCCTATATCAGTTTCCATGCTCTCATTGGTCACACGGTTCCACAAACTCTGTGCGTCATGGGTTAGATCGTCAAACATCAAGTCACTACATTAGTTGACAGCGGTAGCACTCACAATTTCATCTAGGACAGTATCGCAAAACAATTGAATCTTCCACTACAGGCTTCATCTGAATTTCAAGTACTTGTTGGTAACGGTGAAGAGCTCTCCTGCGCTGCCCTATTTTCTCAGGTATCTTTACAACTTGGCTCTCATAACTTTTTGCTTAATCTCTATGTTTTATCCCTGAGTGGTGCCGAAATCATGTTGGGTGTTCAGTGGTTAAAAGCCATTGGGCCAATCCTATTAAACTATGGTACTCTCACCTTGAAATACATTAAAGCGGGCCAAATTGTCACCATTAAGGGCGAACCTAAACCCGGCCCAAATGAGGCTTCCATACACCAATGACGTCGATTGGCATCTACCTAAGCCCTAGACACCCTTCTTGAGCTGCACCTTGTTAACCCGACCCAATTCCCTTCAGAAAATTTGATTTCCCAACCCCAACTCACTACCTTCCTCAACACCTATGAACATTTATTCCTCACATACCCCACCCTACCACCACCAAGAGCCACCGACCACCACATCCCCATCCCCCTCCTAGACGAGGCTAACCCGATCAACATCTGCTACCCTCACTTCCAAAAAAAAGAAATAGAATCCCAAATCAATGATATGCTTAACCATGGCATCATCCAACACAACTCTAGTGCTTTTTCATCCCCAATTCTCTTGGTCTGCAAAAAAGATGGTACATGGCAGTTTTGTGTCGACTACTGAGCCCTCAATGCCCTCACGGTAAAAGACAGATTTCTTTTTCCAGCCATTGATGAGCTCCTTGATGAACTCTATGGCACTCAGTGGTTCTTCAAGCTGGATCTTCATTCAGGTTACCACCAGATTTGTATGGCACCCATTGATGTCTCTAAAACGGCTTTTAGCACCCACCATGGTCAGTATGAGTTCCTCGTCATGCCATTTGGGTTGTGTAATGGTCCATCCACCTTCCAAGCTACCATGAATTCTATTTTTCAACAATATCTCTAACAATTTGTCATTATATTCTTTAACGACATATTAATTTATAGCAAGACGTTTGAAGATCACCTACACCAGTTGGAACTAGTGTTTCAATGTCTGAGCAGCAATCAAATTTTTTTTTTAAGCTCTCTAAGTGCACCTTCGTCCAATCTTCAATAGCTTACTTGGGTCATTTGGTACCAGCCACGGGAGTCGGGCCTGATCCAGAGAAAATTCAGGCAATGGTTTCATGGCCTACCCCAACAATTGTGAAACACCTACGTGGGTTCTTGGGCCTTACAGGTTTTTACAGAAAGTTCATGCTGATATTGCCGCACTATTGATTGACCTTCTCAAGAATGATGGTTTTGAATGGAACTCACAAGCACAACATGCATTTGAGACTTTGAAATAGGCCATGACAAAGGGCCCAATTCTAGCCTTGCTTAACTTCGACGCAAAATTTGTCTTGGAAACTGACGTTTTAGGGCGTGGCATGGGAACTGTCCTTATTCAACATGGCCATCCCATTTGTTATTACAGTAAGAAATTTTGTCCTAAACTCCTGAATGCTTCGATATATGTTCGTGAGTTATGTGCTATTACGTCAGCCGTCAAAAAATGGCGCACTTACCTCTTGGGGCACAAATTCATCATTCATACAAATTAGCGCAGTTTGCGAGAACTCATGACTCAGGTTATCCAGACCCTAGAGCAAGAGTTTTATCTAGCTAAGCTTCTTGGGTATGCCTATGAAATTTACTACAAACTGGAATCTCAAAACAAGGTAGCAAATGTCCTTTCCCGTATTCATGAACCCTCCTTCCAGCTATTCGCCATCACCATTCCCCATTGAGAGTTTCTTGACAAACTAAAACAATCTTTGACTGAGGATATTGACCTACAGGAGCTGTTACGACAAGTCCAACAAGATCCTACTGCTCACCGTGATTTTCAGGTTAATTGTGGGCTCCTTTTCTTCAAAGGAAAACTGTATATCCCCCCTCTTCTCCATTTAAGGATATGTTGCTCCATGAGTTCCATTCATCTCCAATTGGGGTCATAGCGGAGTACATAGGACATATGGTCGTCTAGGGGAGAATGTGTATTGGCCAGGGATGAAACAAGATGTTACTATATTTGTTAATGCTTGCTTGACCTGTCAACAAGTGAAGCATACAACTCATGCACCCTACGGGCTTTTAACACTCTTGCCGATTCCAACTCAGGTATGGGAGGATATTTCCTTAGACTTTATTGTTGGGCTCCCTTCTTTCTAAAGTCACACTGTTATCCTTGTTGTAGTGAATCGTTTGTCCAAAGAGCTCATTTCGGATTGCTACTTACTCACTTCACCGTAGTCAAAGTGGCTGATCTGTTCGTAAAAATGGTGTGTAAACTTCATGGAATGCCTCGTAGCATCGTGTCGAATAGTGACCCAATTTTTCTCAACAAGTTTTGACAAGAGCTCTTCCACTTAAGTGGCACAACTCTCCGAATGTCGATGGCCTATCACCCTCAAAGTGATGGCCAAATTGAGGTGGTGAACA